AAAAAAAAAAAAAAAAAAAAGAAGAGAGGGAACTTGGAGTAGCTGCTGAAGTACATTGATTTTTGTTATGTTGCCGGATGCGTGTCGGATCCTTCAAAAGTAGTATAGTTTTGGAGGATTCGACACGGGTGCGGCAACATTTTGGAAAGTCAGCGCAACATAGGATTTTTGTCACCTACTCTAACCATCAAAGTAACCCGAGGAAGCTAATTACTTTCACTTCTGGTAGAAGGGATGTTCAAATTCTCATCTGAAGCAAGTTGCCAGATATAGCTGCGTAGAACACTTGTAACTATCCACGGGCTCCTGTAGATTGATCTTGCTCCATCTTTAATCATTGATTTCTTACTTTTCAAACAGAACTTCGTGGTAGTCAGTTAGAGAGCTAGAAAACAGCAAATATTTCTAGTGTAACTATTAACAGTAATTACACTACAAAAAAGAAGTATTTTTTTGTCGGAACTACTAAGAGAAGTTTAAGACAGGCAGCAAATTTAGGTTACAGCAAAGACAATCTATTCTCCTGTGAGAGAAGCTGCCAACCATCTCAAGGGCCTGGAGGCAAGTAAAGGTTGACTTCCTCGAGCAAAGAAGCACAGACCTGCAAAACTTAAACTGATACGCAAGCACTGCAACTCGCACTTTAAAAATTCATAAGATGCACGGTTGAAATTACCCAGAAGAGACACATCTTTGCCAGACGCCCAGGTTAAAGATATGCAGAATGATTAACAGCATATGAAACAGTTTATATGAAAAACTCCAAAGTTACTTCAACGATTATTACAGTCTGATATGATGTAATGAGGAAGACTCAAAACTAATTTACTTCATACAAACAGCTCCAAAAAAACATAATTTTGGAAAAAAGAAAATATAAAAAAAAGAAAGCAGAAAATGACAAATTACGCAATAATGCTACATCCTGTGCACTTGTAGAAGGTCTGCAATCACAGCATACAGAACATTATTTCTCTAGATGTTGCCAAAAGGAAGGCTAAAGTTTATGTACTCTAACTCCAGATGAAATGTCAGCGAAATTGCAAGAAAGAACACAGAAAAGAGACTTACATTACTGAGGTAAACTTAGACAAGTCACCATAGTAAATACTCTTCTCTGATCATTCATTTCCTGGTTCTTCATCTTCTGTATTTGTCTGCACAACAGCTTCAGCATCAGGTAGAGAAGCTTCCTCCATCGTTTCATCTCCTACGCCTGCATTATCTGATGACTCAATGTTGTTTTTATCATCTTCATTTCTTTTGAGTAACCTCAACCTTGTTCTCATCCCTCACATCCGCATCCTCGTTTCTTTCACACTTAATACCAGCATGTGCAATGCTTTCGTTTTTAGGAGGTTCATCATGCAGAGTAAGAATAAATTCTTCATGTCCCTCCACTTTCTCCTCCTGTGCAGATTCAATATCCCCATCATGTGCCTTGTCTTCCTCCGCTTTCACATCCCTGTCTCCTCCTTCCATGTTCTGTTCAAGGAATTCCACATTATGTTCTTCTGCAGAATCGGACTCTCCATGGCTTTCACTCTCCTCAGACTCATTCTCCACTACCTCCTCATTAATCTCGTCAAATCCACAGCCCTGCCTCTCAAGACTTTGCAGCCTCCTCTTCAAATCACCAAACTCTCTCTCCATCAAGAACAGCCTCTCCTTCAATATCAAATTCTCTTCCTCCAACTGAGCAATATGTGAATCCTGATCATCCACACGGTTCTCCAAAACATTGTTATACTCCACACCACTAGAATTCGGGTAAATCATCTCGAACCGGCTCAAGTCATGATCCAATCGCCTTTCTACCTCCACATGTTCTTCCACATCACTCTCGCTTGATCCTCCACCCTCTTCTTCCTCTTCTTCCTCGTGCAATTCCATCTCATGTCCTGGTGATCTCAATCTAATCAAACCCTTCATCGATCCATACCCATCAACCCCCCACTCCTCCTTCGCCATATCCACCAATACCTCCCTCGACGGAGAGAAATTTGGGGTTGGCAACACTGCCGGAGTCACGGGACAGGGTGACACCAATGAGGCAATACCACCACTCTTCTTTGCTCTAATAATAAATGACGTCGTGTTCCTGGGAGCAAAAGGGGCACCCATATTATTGTTATTATTATTATGATAAAATTTCTTCTTAGGGAAAAATCTCCTGGCCTTTAATCTATTCTGATTTTGCAATTCATTAAGTGTTGGTGGCTTATATCCACCACCAAATCCTCCAACATTTCCATCACCATTCAGATACCCAGAAGCCATTATAGCCTTTTCTTTTCTCCTCCCACTATCCATCCTCTTATCATTCTTATTTCCCTTTTTACCCTTCCAATTGTTCCTAGGTCCTAAGTTTTTCAACTGCTTTCCTCCAGCAACAAATCCATGGCCCTTCATAACATTAGGGTTCTGAAACTTCATCTGATCAATTGTCATTGTCGGCGGCCAAATCCCATAGCTCCGATTCATCATTGATGGTTGCTGCTGTTGCATCTGTGAATGAAACTGAGGGTTTTAGATTGCGTTTAAGCTGTGCACTGACGATGTAATAAAATATTTACACAACCAGGTAATTGCAGATAATTTATTTAATAAAACTCTATTTAATGCTGGAATTTTCATGAATGCTAGGATTATACTTTACTTGAGACAAATATCGGAAACAACCTCTCTACCTTCACAAGTCAGGGTAATGTCTGCGTATTGTTGTTGATTGGTTAATCTTTAATAAATGGTAAGTAACACTAATGGTGTACAAAATTCATTTTTAAGTTGTGCGCAATGATGCTGTATAAAATATTTAAACAATTAGGTAATTGAAAGTACACTCTATCTAATAGCATTGATTGGTAACCTTTAACAAAATGGTAAGTACTTAATACTGACGGCATAAATTTCATTACAATATTAGTGCATATAACTAATCTAACCGACGCAGTATTCATATAATAAGAAGTAAATTAAAATTAATCAATTTGATTAATGATACCAGTTGTTGTTGAAGATGTGGATTCATGATCTGAGATTGACTCATACTCATCATCACTTGTTGTTGTTGATTCATCATCAATCCTTTTTCGTTCATAATCGACCAAAATCAAAATCCTAGCCCCAGAAAACCAAACTGAAGATCAAAATCAGAACCTCAAAATCCCCAAAAGGTATAAAAACCGCTAAACCAACGACAAAATAATCCAAACCCTCACCTTTCAAAATTATTGATTAAAAATCCAAAAAACGAAAGTCGAAATAATTCAGAAAAAGTTATAGAGATCTATAGATTTTTTTTCTGAATTATATATATCAGGGAACAAATTTAGAATATTTTTTAGAAATTTGAGGATTAACTTTGTTGAGATTTATTCTTTCGGATTCTTCAATTATAGAGATTATTACAATCGCGTTTAGATGATGTGGTGAGGAAGAAAGTGGGAAATTATAGGTGGGAGGGTATATATATAGGGAGTTAGGATGATGATGGACGGTTAAGATTTCCTGGTGATAGAGGACTAGTTGGATGAATGCCACGTGGCTATAAAATAGAAAACGATTCTCTTATTACAAGGAAGTCCAACTAGATATAAATATGACAAATGACTTCAATGAAGTTTCACAAGCTTAACTCTAACCCCCCACACCCACCCCCCTCTTTATAGTAATAAACTCTATCTTAAAATTGTTTTGGGAGTCAAAAAAATTATTTATAAATATTTGATTTATATTTACTACTCTCTGATCCACTATAAGTGATTTTTTGGCTCTTTTCACACATATTAAAGAATTCACTTTTTAGCATTAATTAACAATAAAATTAACCATATTAACTTTAATTTGCTCATTAGAAATATAACAAACTACTCTTATGCTCTTCATTCCAAGGGCAACTTTGGAAAGAAGAAATTAATTCCTTCTTGATATCTGAAAAAAATCAAATATTGTGGACCACAAAAAAAATTAAAAAATTACTTAAATGAACCGGAGGAAGTATTATTTTTAATCGATATGATGATAATATGAGTTAAGCTTAAATGAAGAAGTCATGACTCATATATCCAATCCCAATTTGTTGGAACAAAAGCATAGTTGTTGCTGTTGTTGGGAGTCGAACTAAATAATCTTTAACAAGTATTTTTAATTATATTATATCATCAGTGTACATTTTGTTGAATTTTATCTTATTGAGCACCCAAAAAAAAAAGGTTAACCCTTGCTACCATGTCTAGTTTCCTTGCAAATTTATTAGTGCAGAGTTGTAATGAATACGTTGTAATCGTGACTTTTGGTAATCAAATTGATTAGTGCAGAGTGTCCTGTTCTGCTTTATTACCTTCCACCTTAAGTTGTAAATTTGATATTGCTGGAGAATTCGACCAGTCTACATGAAGTTTTTGTTCCAAAAGGCCAAATTTTGCACTAAAATTATTTCGATTCTGCTCAATCCGACGAATATCATGCTACTACTAATCCTAAAACAAATCCAATTTCATATTACTAATCGGTGAAAACAGATAACTGTAAAGCAAGAAAAATCCCGCTACTCGTATATGTGCAATAATCATCGGGGGAAAGAAATTCTGTTGCTCACTAAATAATAGATTACTATGCCAAAAATAGTCAATGACAAAATCCTAGACCATTATCTAATATCACTTATCTGGTATACCTAAACATATCTGAAAACTATACACAATAACTTTACAACGTATGTAAATGAACAAAAGACGCAGCTCAATAATAACTTACTCTAACAAAAAACTCCTAAAAGTGATGCAACAATATGAACTACTCTTCTCTGTACAAGATCAGAGGAATATGAGATATTATAAACCAGTGTTCGGATTGTTTCCAGCAAGGATGAGAGATATCTCCAGCCCTCGACTGAACGCTTGGTTGAACATAAGCCGGGTTTGAAATGTTGAAATGAAGGGGAACCAAGAAAACAGTGCAATTGGGATGAAGATGAGCATCCCCATACCAGCATCGTACAAACGAGCAACTGAACGGAAAGACTTCCACATCCCCATTTTCTTGATTAGAGGCTTCCATGCTGTAGCAATCTGTCAAATGATGAAACATGCATTTGCCGGAAATTAATACAGTCCAGAAGGGATAAAGAAAGATGTGCACAATCAAAAACAAGATTTGTATACAAGGTATAATGTCCTGTTCTCAGTGAACATCAATATATATTGTTTACCACTTGGCAGGGAAGCTTGACTTTATCCTACTTGTAACTTTTAAGGAAGTTCCTTCGTGAGAGCAGGGCCAGAATGGGTTTCTTCATTTTTTATTTTTTTTTT